TTTTTTCATTCGAAAGTTTCAAAGTTGGAAAATTTGTTTTGTTTTTTATGTAAGTTGCTAACCCAATTTGACTTACAAAAAAACATTTACCAAACAAATTTTTTGCATTCAAAAATTTACAATTTTTTGCATCTAATATAGTCCACTCACAGTTTTTTTACAGAAAATATTCAAGGCAGAATTTAATACGTTCAATTTTAGATAATATTATGTAACCTAAACCCGTCCAAAGACATGCCACCATTTTCAACCTCTGAGTTTTTTGAAACGGAAGGCTCGTAGCCATATACTTAAAATTACATCGTTATTCAAATTGTATCCGACGTGGCATCTATTATTTGAATTTTGTCAGCGATTTTAATGTTGTTCTCACTTGAAAAAATTGTTGGTTTTGGTGCTTAGGGCAAAACATAATTTTAAGTTCAAGAGAAAGAGCTTGTTATTTTTTAAAAATTTGCCAACGGCAGTCAAAAGTTCGACACACGAAATTTATAGTATTCTAGGAGAGCTCGCAAAATCAATTTGGTCGACCAAACATTTCTGCGAACGCCACTGAAGATGGGAAATCTCATTTTCACCAAACGGAAAATAAGTTATAAGAGCTTCTGTAGCGCTGTTTTCGCGAAAGTGTTTCAAACGAAATAGAATTTTATTTTTTTTTGCATAAAATTAGAAAAACATTAGAAAAATTTTTTATCAATTTTTCCATGTTTGAATTGTTTATCGTTGATTGTAGACAACGGTGTCCACTCTTTAACCCCACGATATTTTACCCCCTATGTTTACACCCCCTATATTATAACCCTGTAACAAGATAACCCCACAACAATTTGACCCCCTTTTAATGACGATAATCTGTTTCAAATTAACTCCTTTTATTAGATAACTGATGCCAATAAAGATGCCGTAGACAACTGATGCCAATAATGCGTAATTATTCAGAACTATTTGCACAGAAAATGGCTAACTTTCTACTTTGTTTTCTTTCCACTTCATTTGGTTTGTATTTTACATAGAAAGTGGGGATGATTTTCAGAAATAATTTGAATTCGTAATGAAAACTTTTCTTTTCTCTTTTTTTTTTTTGAAAATTTCATCAGTTGCTTTTGTTGCTAACAGTACCCATAATTTTTAAAAGGCAATCAAAATTTTTAGGTCTTTTTGTCCTGATGCCTGCGGTTTGTTAATACGCTGAATGGCATTGCGGGACAAAGCTCTGATGTTTTCAATGTTTAGTATCAAAATTTCGCTATAAAAATATAGAGGTAGTTTGAAATAAATTTTTTTAACAAATTTTTTAGATTTTTCACCAGTTTATTCAAAGAACGTGATTACCCTACCTTTTATAGCTCTACTGAAAAAATTTTCAGGTTTTCTTAACATCGTTAAGGCCCAATGGAGGTTTTTCAGAGATCAAGCATCAGTAACCAGTGAACATTTCAATGGTTCACTTTGAAATTAAAAGTCAAATAAAAATTCAGTTGTTATGGTTAGAATATTCTGTGTTTCTTGAACATACACCGGCTATCCCTGGGCTATCCTTTTTTGAGTTCGTTAGCCATCGATTATTCTGATCCGGTATCTAATCTGCACTTATATCTGCCCGTAGTTCAATTCACAGAAAAAAAACATGAAAAAGGATTGCTATTTCGAGATGAATGTTAAGCATGCAAGCTTCTTGTAAAACAGATTTGACAGTGCTCAAAAATATTGTCTCATGAAAAACTGGAAGCAATTATGTTTCAACTGGTGAAATTATTATCAAATCTTTCTTTCTCTCTTTTTTTTGTTTTTTTTTGTGTCTACCATTGAATCTATTGGACAAATAGATTGCACTTTGCGTAATCAGCTGTCGCGAAACGGCTCAAATATTGACAATACTTCAAATAGCAAGTTACACCTCAGTCTCGCCACTGAAAATGAAAAAAAAATCCTTGAAAAAAAAATATAGCAATTAAACGATACCATGCATCTAGATTAAACTTGAAATGTTACTTGGAAAATTATTTCTCTTATCAAAGTAAATAATCACAGGAGGAATTGAATTTAATTTTAAATACATATAAATAGTGCTGAAATTTTAAAATTGAGATTAGTTTCGAAAAACGAATTTATTTATGGGTCACGTGAATTCAAGGATTATTAAGACATAGCCAAAAAGCGTACATGCAATCAAAATATCGGGGCGATTGTAGTAGTTGACAGATATCAAACTTTTTGACTTTTTATTTACGACAGATGGAAAAACTCTTTGACAAAATGATTCAATCTAGCTTTCAGTCGAAAAAACAATCCACATAAATTCACGTAAAATTTTTTATACTTAATTTTATCTTACAATTTGGTTCCACTTTCACCAAAAATTAACGGAATACTAGAGCTCAATTTTCAATCAAAAAATTTTGAAGCTAAGAGGCTTAACTTTCAGTTTTTGCTGAGTTTTCAGAAGCGTCCAACAGATGATTAAAATTATTTGAATCTAAAGTAAGGCAAAAAGTAATGGTTATTTTATAAAGACCAGGTTGACTTGGGATCCAAGCCAAGATTAAAGTACGCAAGTTTCTCAATTTTTTATAGATTGGTGTTACTTGATGCAGAGTATTTTAGCTATTTGTATTTGACACTACTTGATGCGCAAATAAAAACCAGTTGAAAAAGTTTTACGTTTGAAATGAAATGACAAAATATTGAGTGTTGCTTTAAAAATTTGTCACCATGATATTTTAGTAAAACAAATCCTGACGGGTTAAGGTTAATCTATTTATTCCGGAAAAAACGTTAATTCGTATAAAAAATTTTAGGAAAAAAATAAAAATAACTTTTTCTTCTGTTTCATTATCATTTTTTTATTATATCATCTTTTATTTGCGTGTCACCAAAGCACTGAATCTAAGCTTCAAAAAAACGCATGCTGATTATTAGACTCCAAAATATTCAATTACAAAGATTGATTTGACGTTCCATTTGAGAATTGTTACCGCGTTTTGCTCTAATTTCACTGCCAAACAGATGTTTGAAACAAATTTTTTTTTGAAACTGCATCAGTCTTTAATCAATCGAATCTTGACTGGAAAAATTTTAATATGATATTTTAAGCGCCCTCGTACGCTTTGTTAATGTATTTCAGTTTTTGTTCACGTATGAACGACAATTACTTGTCGCACCTATAAAAAAAAGAAACTAGCCCAGATTTTGTTGAACATATGAAATTGATCAATCAATTTTTTTGGGGAAAAATAGAAAAACTATGTTGCGGAAAACAATAATTTAAAAATTTCCTCTGAAAAATGAATTCACGAATAAGTAATTGTTAAAGTTCAGGGTTCAAGTATTCCGGTTTTTGTTCAGGGTGCGTGTCAGGAGAAAGCACTGTTTTACATATTTTTCGAATTTCATTAGAATCACATAACTAGCAGCAAATTTTCCATCGAGTTCTTTTCAGTAGATATGTTGATTCAGTAGAGACTTGAAACTGTTTTTAAAGCTACCAACAGTCAATAGACTGTGACGGGTTCAACATTCAAATGAATTGCTTATTTAAGTTTGCGTTTACTCAAAAAAGCGTTTACTCAAAAAACTTACCCATTTTTTTCATAAAACAAAACAAACTGCTTTAGCGTGACCATGTTGCCAATTATTCTTATGTGCAAACTTTAAAAATTCATATTTCGCTGAAAAAATAGGTGATATCTTACAATAGGTGGTAATTTTAAGTATAGAGCTTGTATCAACTTTGCGAACTATAATGTATAATATAGTCATTTCATTTTCAATCAGTTGTACATGCTGCTAAGATAGTTTTTGTAAATACATACTCTGCCAGATAAAATGTTAATCAAAAACTCAAATTTTACTTTTCTTTTTGGCAAAAAATTAGCTTTTGAAATAAATTATAAATACTGTGCGAAGTATAACAAAAAGCGATCCAGCTATTTAATTTAAAATTACCACCTATTGTAATATATCACAAAAAAAAATGTTTCACCGAAAAAAAAACTATTGAAACCATAAAATATTTCAAAAATTTTCGGTTTTCGGATAGAGAAATTTCGACTGAGCTCAAGCAACAGTAATCAGCGAACAATCCAAGGGGCGACCTTCAGGTTCAAGTTCAATTTATAGTTCAATTATTTTGGTTGAAATATTCAGTTTTTTGCGCAGCAACCGGCTGTCCATGTTTTTTGCATCCGTTAGCCAGCAATGATTTTGACCCCACTTGTAATAAGCTTTTTGAACTAGTATATTTTCTGAGTTAAGCAAATAATTTTCCTAAAATAGATTTTACTGTTCAAAGTCATCGTCTTTGGAAAATTGGAAGAGAAACAGTTTTCGGTTGTCGGATTAACTATCAAAAATTAGCATTATCAGTTCAAATGTCTTCTTGTATTAGCTTTTTGCTTCCGTAATTATTAGACACCCAGACTTCCTAGACTCACCTAGAGTGATAGTAATGGCATAAAAGTACTAAGATGAGCTTCATGAAAAAAGCTTATTTCTATTTTAAACTTTTAATGACTATTAAAAATACACCAAAAAGTCTGCAAGCGAGCAAGACAGGGGTGTGATTGAAATAATTTGATAGGAAAAGTTCACAAATAAATTTTGGTGACTGTGATCGAATTTTGAGTACTTTAAACCCGTTAAAATTTATCGAGCCGATTAAAACATTTTAAAAAACTTAAGCAGTATATTCATTAAATCCATTTTTATTTTAACTTAAATGTGTATTTTTTTTAAAAATACCGCTTAAATTTCTCAAAAAGCTTTTTTACCGCCCAAGATGACCTAGAGATAGAAAAAATAGTGTGAATGTGGCGAAAAACATGGAAAACAAGAAGAAAAAGCAGAATGAAAATTTTTTTCAAAGACTCTGCTTCTATGTAATCTATCTCAATAATTTTCAGTCCAAACTTTTTTTACGGCCAGATAATTTAATTTAAAAAATAGAAAGTTGCATTTTTTGAAAACAATTGATAAAAATAAGCTCGAAATAAACTTACATGATATAGTCGAGTAGAATTCTTGATTCGATTTTTAGCAGTCTATTGGGGTCAAATGTCTTGCTGGTTTCAGTAAACAACTGGCAACAAATTGTTTTTATTTTGTGGCGAAGAATGTTGTAGTTGTTATTACACGTTCACGAGTGTAATGATATCCCGAATGATAATAATTTGATTATAAAATCTTTTATCTTTGTTTAATCTATGGGCAAAGATATTTTTAATATCCGTTTTTGTTTTATTAAAATTTCCGAATTTCTTGCAAGAAAAATAACTCAATAACTAAACTGTTGTGATTTTGAGATGAAAGAATTATGTGACATATCTGATGAAACGTTCTATGTTGATTGGCAGTAAATAACTAGCTTTACGACACCAAACTTTGCACTGGCTGGGCGCACAATTTTGTGTGTGCGTGTTCCTGGATTCCAGAAACTTATCTTTAAACATGTTCCAAATTGTAAGTGGATTCCATTTTTAAAACTGCCGTAGATTTCGCGTACAAATAACTCTAACGTAAATTTTGTTGTGTGGCGGATTCCGCAACAAGCGAAAAAAGCTATTTGTTCTGGATTCTGCAACTGTAAGTGGGTTCCGCAAAATGTAAATGGAATCCGCAATTGTAAGCGGAATCCGCCTACTGTAAGTGGATTCCGAAGTTTGTTTATTACTGAACTTGCATATCAACAATTAGCTAGAAAAGCTAGAGCTGGATTTCTTATCATTGTCAGCGGAATTCATGAACAAATCTTAAAACATTGGTTAACTATATCGGCGGATGTCATCTTTTAGTATTTGCGATACATATCTCAGAAAACAAATTTTGGGATCATAGTTTTGGAAACAGTACTTCGAATAAACTCATTGCTTGGAGCCATTGGATTGAGAGTGCTTAGAAAAACAACGCCCATCATATCGCCGACTTAAGTCAGTAATGGGATTCCATCGATCCCAAATCCTCATCTAGTAGATTCCTATTCTACTGAAATCAAATCATCAGGCCAGGAATTGAGACCAAACGTTTGGTGTTTCAACTGGTAGTTGATCAAAGTAGTAATTGAGATTAAACTTTCTGGTGACCACCTAGTAAACAAAAGATATAAGTTTAAACGCTATACTACAAATATACCTATATCTAAACGGAATCCGCAAACAAAAAGCGGATTCCATTTATAGTTTGTGAATTTCACCTACAGTTTGTGGATTCCGCTCGCAATTTGCGGATTCAGCTTACAGTTGCGGTTTCCGCAACAGGTCAATTGAACTACACACTTGTCTTGTTATTTGATTGTGAATTCCAAAAACTGTTCTGTTTTCCGCAAGTACGGTTGCGGATTCCTTAAACTCGACTATTTTGGAGCGATTTTGAGCGGTAAAGTTTTTTAGATCAAAAAAAGTAGCAATCTTGCGGATTCTGCTATAAATCTGATTTTGGCCTGTTGCGGAATCCGCTAACAATGCACAAAATGGACACTTTGGCCTCGTAATGAGGCGCAAAAATTTTTAAAATCGTTTTTATTTGTACCAACGATTTGAACACGGTCAAAGTTCTCGTATCAAAGTAAAACTTCACAAGTTTTAATTGAATTCAGCTTTACTATGCAAAGAAAGATCGCTGGAAAATTCTTCTTCTTCAATCTGGTTTCTTTTATAACATACAGACTGCTCTGTAAGTGAAAAGTATTCCATACAAAACTTAATTTATTGCTATCAACGTTTAGCTGGTTAGTGACAACTAATCGACTTGATTGAAGTTTTTGACCTCGTACCAATAGAAAAGCAATTAAAAATAAATGTACTACAAAATAAGTGAAAAAAGCTGCAAAAAAATTCATCACATTGGTGCAATGAATAATTTTTAGTTTAATTTGAGACGTTTTGCAAGGTCAAATAATTACTTATAAACCAAAAACATATATCATCCAAAAATCCAAAAAAGAGCCCCTAAAGTAATATAAGAAATCTTTTTTTGTCCAGCCAAACCTAAGAATTTTACAAGAGCCCTTGGTGCCAGAGAAATCCATGAAAGAAGGTCTATGGTTACTGATTTTTGATATATGGAAATTGTTTGCCTACCATTTTTCCATAAACCAAAAAAAAATGTTTTTTTTTTTAAAATTTATTTTCGCAAATTTCTTTGAATGTGTTCGTAACCGAACACAAGTGAGAAAACCATAGTTTACTCAACACTAGAGTCACCAAAGGTTTGATCGACTTGCATTTTACAATGCATTGGCAACGACCTGAATTGTATCAGAGTTTTCTTATAAAAATTATATGCTGAAAGCATCAAACTATTAAACTCTGGCAAAGTTTTCAAAGATGATTATGTTCAAAGTTAGATTTATTAAATGATCAGACATTGATTAAGGCGTACATAAACATGCCATATAAAAGAAATAGAATTTTTGGCGTTTTTGAAAAAATATATCCAGAGAAACAGAAGAAAAAACCAATTTTTGTGTATCCAGGACTAGGTTATGCACACAAAAATTTAAATTTAGCATGCAAAATTTTTTTGGAGAATTTTTTTCCAGTACAAAATTCGATTTGCGGTAACAAACAAAAAACAAAAAAATTTTGGGGCAATTTCAAAAATTTATGTTGTCGCCGTCAAAATAGTGCTATTAGATAATATTCCATATATAGAAATTATAAGATAAGCATTTTTTCGACAAATTTTTTCTTTTTTATTTAGTACGATATACCGAATTTTTTGCCAAAACAAGAAAAAAGTTCTTGGAAAATTTTGTGACACCAGTTTAGCAAAATGTATGAAAGTTGAGTGATTAGTATTTTTTATATACTTAGTTAATGGAATTGTATGAACAACTCTTTTGATCTATGGAGGTCAAACCGGGTTCTTTGAAAATAAAGTTTTTCGCAAAACGCACGAAGAATCGAATCTACTTAACAAGACTAAGATAGTCAAGTTTTCGATCATTCAGAAAGCAGTAATATTAGGATTCTCAATTGAAAAAGCTAGTGCTACTTTACTCGGTTATAGTAGATAGCACAGTAATTTTTCAATTGTTAGCGCCTTGGTGTTAAAATAAACATTTACTAAAAATTCAAAAAAAGTTCATTATAAGCTCAGTAGCAGAGAGAGTTTTTTTGGCAACAAAAAATAATCTACGTTTTTCATTTTGTGTAACGGTTTCATTTTGTGTAACGGTAATGAGGCGCAAAAATTTTTAAAATCGTTTTTATTTGTACCAACGATTTGAACACGGTGCAAACAGAGTTCTCGTATCAAAGTAAAACTTCACAAGTTTTAATTGAATTCAGCTTTACTATGCAAAGAAAGATCGCTGGAAAATTCTTCTTCTTCAATCTGGTTTCTTTTATAACATACAGACTGCTCTGTAAGTGAAAAGTATTCCATACAAAACTTAATTTATTGCAATCAACGTTTAGCTGGTTAGTGACAACTAATCGACTTGATTGAAGTTTTTGACCTCGTACCAATAGAAAAGCAATTAAAAATAAATGTACTACAAAATAAGTGAAAAAAAAAGCTGCAAAAAAATTCATCACATTGGTGCAATGAATAATTTTTAGTTTAATTTGAGACGTTTTGCAAGGTCAAATAATTACTTATAAACCAAAAACATATATCATCCAAAAATCCAAAAAAGAGCCCCTAAAGTAATATAAGAAATCTTTTTTTGTCCAGCCAAACCTAAGAATTTTACAAGAGCCCTTGGTGCCAGAGAAATCCATGAAAGAAGGTCTATGGTTACTGATTTTTGATATATGGAAATTGTTTGCCTACCATTTTTCCATAAACCAAAAAAAATGTTTTTTTTTTTTAAAAATTTATTTTCGCAAATTTCTTTGAATGTGTTCGTAACCGAACACAAGTGAGAAAACCATAGTTTACTCAACACTAGAGTCACCAAAGGTTTGATCGACTTGCATTTTACAATGCATTGGCAACGACCTGAATTGTATCAGAGTTTTCTTATAAAAATTATATGCTGAAAGCATCAAACTATTAAACTCTGGCAAAGTTTTCAAAGATGATTATGTTCAAAGTTAGATTTATTAAATGATCAGACATTGATTAAGGCGTACATAAACATGCCATATAAAAGAAATAGAATTTTTGGCGTTTTTGAAAAAATATATCCAGAGAAACAGAAGAAAAAAACAATTTTTGTGTATCCAGGACTAGGTTATGCACACAAAAATTTAAATTTAGCATGCAAAATTTTTTTGGAGAATTTTTTTCCAGTACAAAATTCGATTTGCGGTAACAAACAAAAAACAAAAAAATTTTGGGGCAATTTCAAAAATTTATGTTGTCGCCGTCAAAATAGTGCTATTAGATAATATTCCATATATAGAAATTATAAGATAAGCATTTTTTCGACAAATTTTTTCTTTTTTATTTAGTACGATATACCGAATTTTTTGCCAAAACAAGAAAAAAGTTCTTGGAAAATTTTGTGACACCAGTTTAGCAAAATGTATGAAAGTTGAGTGATTAGTATTTTTTATATACTTAGTTAATGGAATTGTATGAATAACTCTTTTGATCTATGGAGGTCAAACCGGGTTCTTTGAAAATAAAGCTTTTCGCAAAACGCACGAAGAATCGAATCTACTTAACAAGACTAAGATAGTCAAGTTTTCGATCATTCAGAAAGCAGTAATATTAGGATTCTCAATTGAAAAAGCTAGTGCTACTTTACTCGGTTATAGTAGATAGCACAGTAATTTTTCAATTGTTAGCGCCTTGGTGTTAAAATAAACATTTACTAAAAATTCAAAAAAAGTTCATTATAAGCTCAGTAGCAGAGAGAGTTTTTTTGGCAACAAAAAATAATCTACGTTTTTCATTTTGTGTAACGGTTTCAAACTAAACTTATACCCTCATATGCTTTTTGGTTTTTGAATCAGATCGTTTTGTTTTGAAATTCTCTCTAGAATGCAATTTGCTTGTAGCGTGTACCTTGATAGCCGCCTACTCGCTCAGAGAAAAATAATTTTGAAAAAATGTAATTTTGTCGAATAACTAGCAATACCTTACACAAACCACAAAAAAAAATCATTTTTAGTTTTTCATTACATGTGAAAACAAAAAAAAGGAGTGAATTTTATAAATCATTTGCACTAAAAATGGAAAAGGAGAAATCAAT